TATATATATATATATATATATATATATATATATGCATAACGTGTACAATATGTAGTATCGTAAAATACCAGCAAACGAAAAAGAAATAAAATGGAAACACAAAATTAAATGAAAAAGAAATCATAAAACTAAAAAAACCCCAAACCTTATAGTACCGGTTGGTCTTACCAACCGGTACTAAAGGGCTCCAGGCCCCCGGAGCTGGCTCGTGCCACGTGGTTCCCCTTTAGCACCGGTTCGTGCTGAACCGGTACTAAGGGAGGGGGGGGCCTTTAGTGACCACAATTTAGTGCCGGTCATGTAACCGGCACTACAGGGCCTTACGAACCGGTGCGATTGCCCGGTTCTGCACTAGTGTAATTCGTAAGTTATTGCAGATATACAGAACCAAAAAAATAAGTACATGAAGCAAACAAGTATAACTGATGTTTCAGATCAAACAAAATGCTGATTGAAGAATCTGAGAATTGCAGAAGTGTATCGGAGCTCACCAACAAACAGTCGTTGGAGGTTTTTTCAGAGGTTTCGATAGAGCAATATGACGACAAGGTGCTCCATTAAAAAAACTCTGGATCCACCGCGCATGACCATCTCAGATCCTCTCAAGTGACTGGTGGAGTAACGCAGCGGCCATATTGGAAAGTAGCGTGCATAGGAACTCCAGCGGCCCTAGTATTTTGCGGCAAGCAGCAGAGATCCAGCAAGATCGGACATGAAAAAATCATGGGAATGGAGCTGAAGATAACCTGGAGGGAATTGGGATCTCTAGGAAAAGGTAGGAAGAAAAAGGTACGCACACCTCCATTTAATTGCAGCCGGTGAGTGGCGCACATCAATTGTGATGAATGCTTCCAGAAACTGAAGATTGATTGATGGATTCATCACCGAACAGTCCACCGCCGCTTCGCCTACAACCTCGCCTCCCCATGGACCGGTCTAAGATGCCAATCGAGCGGACTGCTCGTCGAGCCACACCTGCGCTTCCCAAGGGACCGCATCGACCAAGGAGATCGGCGCCTGTGCAGCGACACCTAGCCCATTTGGCCCAAATTCACAGAATACATCCAAAATAGTTCCCGGAGCAGCGGCCCACTTCAATTGATCGCTATGTGGTCAGCGTACATAGCTCATGGGGAACCCCTCAAAAAAAACATAGCTCATGGGGTCCAGAACAACATCCAATGGACAGTAAAGGCCGAAACAACAGATCTAACGGTTAAAACCTCTAATGGCCTGAGAGGGCTGGATTAGTGCTCAGTTATAATGTATTTAAATATCAGTTTCGTTGATGCTTACAGTCGCTTTACCTGGCTTTATCTTATCAAATATAAATCTGATGTGTTTGACATTTTTGTTCAGTTCCAAAAACATGTTGAACGCCTTCTCAAGCACAAAATTGTTCATGTTCAGTCGGACTGGGGCGGCAAGTATTGCAACCTCAACTCCTTTTTTCAGTCGCTTGGGATCGCTCACCGTTTAGCATGTCCACATACACATCAGCAGAATGGTTCAGTAGAACGTAAGCATCGTCACATTGTTGAAGCTGGTGTTACTCTTTTGGCCCATGCATCTGTTCCGTTTCGGTTTTGAAGTGATGCTTTCACCACTGCATGTTTTCTCATCAATCGTACTCCCACTCGTGTTTTGCACATGAAGACTCCCATTGAAGTTCTCCTTAATGAACAACCGGACTACACCTTTCTCAAGGTGTTTGGGTGTGCTTGCTGGCCCCATCTCCGTCCATATAACAAGCGCAACCTCGAGTTTCGTTCCAAGAAGTGTGTTTTTCTTGGTTATAGCTCTCTTTATAAAGGATACAAATGTCTTCATGTGCCCACTAATCGTGTCTACATCTCTCGGGATGTTGTGTTTGATGAGCATGTATTTCCCTTTGCCAAACTCCCCGTGTCCACTGCCGAACCACCACCCATGCATTCATCCTCTGTTGCTTCTGACCAATTTGATGATGTTGCATATTCTCCTATGTTGTTACCTAACCATGGTGCAGGCACTGGTCCTGGGGCTCGTTTGGAGATTTTAGAGGCGCCATCGCCTCCTTCGTCGCCATCGCTTTTCTCGTCGGCACCTTCAGCTGTGCATGACGATCATATGGCGCCCCTGCATGGTCTCGGTCCCCGTGCCCATGCACGACCGATTGCTGCCCCGGTCCAGCCGCCCGCTTCGTCGCCTCTGGCTTCTGGGCCGGCATTGCCACAGTCGTGCCCCGCGACCCCAGTCACGCTAGCGGCGACTGGGCCGGCCTCACCTGCCCCCGTCTCGCCCAGGGCGTCTGGGCCGTCGTCACCGGGGTCGGCCTCGCCCGCCCTCGTCTCGCCCAGGGCGTCTGGGCCGTCGTCACCGCAGCCGGCCTCGCCCGTCCTCGGTTCGCCCATGGCCTCTGGGCCACTGTCATCAGGGCCCGCTTCGCCCAGGCCGGTTTTGGCCTCTTACAGCCCGGAGCCGTTCGGTACTGGCTCTCCTGAGGCGACGTCTGGCTCTTCGCCGACCGCGCCGTCTCCATCGCCCTCGACTTTGATGGCTCCTGCTGCTGCTCTACGTCCACATACGCGCAGCTGGAGTGGCATTTTTCAGCCTAAGCAACGTCATGATGGAACAGTTGCCTGGTTAGTGCCTGCATGTCTGCTGCTCTTGCAGATCCATCCTCCAAGCCACGCACGTATCAAGCTGCTATGCGCATTCCTCATTGGAGAGAGGCCATGGAGCAGGAGTATCAAGCTCTCATTCGCAATCAGACATGGACTCTTGTTCCTCCACCATCACGGGTTAATGTCATTGATTCTAAATGGGTTTTCAAAGTGAAGAGGCATTCTGATGGATCCATTGAGCACTACAAAGCTCGTCTGGTTGCCCGTGGTTTTCGACAGTGTTTTGGTCTTTACTATGAAGACACCTTCAGTCCAGTGGTCAAGCCTACTACTATCAGGCTTCTTCTCTCTCTTGCCGTTACTCGAGGTTGGTTTCTTTATCAGCTTGATGTTCAAAATGCCTTCCTTCATGGTGTGTTGGAGGAGGAGGTCTATATGCGCCAGCCTCCGGGTTTCTCTGATCCGGATCGCCCTGATCATCTCTGTCGTCTGTCCAAGGCACTTTATGGTCTGAAGCAGGCTCCTCGTGCTTGGCATGCTCGTCTTGCAATGGCTCTTCGTGCTCATGTTTTTGCATCATCAACTGCTGACTCCTCACTGTTTCTTCTACAGAGGCCTGAGGTTACTATGTACTTGTTGGTCTATGTCGATGATATCATTTTGGTCAGCTCCTCTCAGTCGGCTGCTACTACGCTTGTTCGCTCGCTTGGTGCTGATTTTGCGGTCAAGGACCTTGGGAAGCTTCACTACTTTCTTGGTGTGGAGGTTACTTCTCGGGCTGATGGTCTTGTTATGATGCAGAAGAAGTACTCTCTGGATTTGTTGCAACGAGCTGGGATGCTTAAGTGCAAACCGATGACTACACCCATGTCTGCCACTGACAAGCTCACTGCTGTTGATGGTGTGCTTCTATCTTCTTCTGATGCGACGGAGTACAGGAGTATTATTGGTGGTCTTCAGTACTTGACGATCGCACGACCGGACATTTCCTTTGCTGTTAACCGAGTCTGCCAGTATCTGCAGTCACCCCGTGATACTCATTGGTCTGATGTTAAGCGTATTTTGCGCTACATTCGATTCACGGTGACTCATGGGTTGCATATTCGACCGTCATCCTCTGGCTGTCTTTCAGCATATTCTAATGCAGATTGGGCTGGCAATCTAGATGACAGGCGATCCACGGGGGGTTATGCTGTGTTCTTTGGCTCTAACCTGATTGCCTGGAGTGCTCGAAAATAGGCCACTGTCTCGCGTAGCAGTACTGAGGCTGAGTATAAAGCTGTGGCCAATGCCACTTCGGAGATTATCTGGGTACAGTCTTTGCTCCGGGAGTTGGGTATATCCCAATCACAGCCTCCTGTTCTTTGGTGTAATAACATTGGTGCTACATACCTTTCTGCAAAACGTGTCTCTCAGAACGAAACACATTGAAGTTGACTATCACTTTGTGCGTGAACGTGTCTCTCAGAAGCAACTACGGATCAAGTTTATTTCTTCCAAGGATCAACTTGCAGACATCTTCACCAAGCCATTGCCTTTACCACAGTTTGAGGCTTGCAGGCGCAATCTTACCCTTCTAGATTCTTTAGGAAGTGGCTAAGATTGAGGGAGGGTGTTAGACTGTATAGCTTCTGTATTTACATATGTATACTGTAACATTGTATACCACCTCATTATATATATGTGATAGGCCACCCCTAGAGGGTTGTGCCGGTTTCCCCCAAACCTATTGTCTTACAGGAGGTTACTCTCACTGGCACAATGGCTCTGTTGTACTCACTCACTCTATCCGTTGCATATTTGTGTCCTACGCAGAACAATATGTGTGATTTTGTGTTAGACAATCCTTCCCCCTAGTTCCCTTTTTCTTTACCAAATGCTGGCTTTCCCTATATGACGTACCTAAATAGCAAAAAATGTAACCTCATTTCTTGGCTACTCTTAGTCAATGAAATGCCACGTCAGTAAGAACGCTGAAATATTAAGATCTAATGTAAGACGGCTCTGGCTTTTCCTTACTAGGTCTATGAATAAATATGTGTGTGTCCTAGGAGATGTGTATATGCCACCTAATTAAGCAATATGTATGATAATGCTGCCGTGTACTCAAAGCCATCCTGAAAATGTAGCAGGGGTAATTCGATTTTGTTTCGGAACATTCAGAGTAATTCAAGCGACAAAATGATATGTCTAGGTGTCATTGTAGATTTGGCGGCAGTAAATATATGTGAGTAATTTCAGTTTTTATAAGATAAAGAAAAAGGTCCACTTTACTGCCACTTTTACATGAAATAAGAAAATTGGCCAACTTGTGCATACGGCATTTTGCTGAGACACTAGTCCAGGATGTTTCCATCTTTAATAGGCCGCATATGGCATGGTGGTGGCACTCTATTAAAGGTCGAGGTGGTATGAGGTGGGAACGAGTACGAGTGGCTCCTTTCGGTGCAAGATGAGCCTTCCTTCTTCCTCCATGTTCACATCATCTATTGTCGTCCCCTCTGGGAGCGCCCACTCAAAACTGAAGAGCAGATTGGCGAGCGTAAACTCAATGGTGGCCATGGCCATGGAGATGCCTGGGCATATCCGCCGCCCTGCGCCAAACGGCATCAGCTCTGGATGCTCACCTTTGAAGTCTATGTCATTTACTTCAAACCTATCAGGGTTGAACTCATCTGGGTCATTAGACCAGCTTATCGGGTCTCTGCCGATGGCCCATGCATTCACATAGATCCGTGTCTTGGCCGGCACGTCATACCCACCGATCTTGATGTCTCTCATGGTCTCCCTTGGCAGTAGAAGCGGTGCTGCCGGGTGCAGCCGCAAGGTCTCCTTCACCACCATCCTGAGGTAGCTGAGTTTGGGCATGTCTTCTGGTTCCACTCTCTTGTTGCCTCCCACCAAGGCCCTAATATGGTCCTGCACCTTCTTGAGCACGCGCGGCTTCCGGACCAGCTCCGACATCGCCCACATAATCGTTGCTGCACTAGTGTCAATGCCAGCAACGAACGTCGACTGCACATCATAAATGCCATGTCAATGATTAATGTTATTACCAGCTTTGATTTCTTTTCTTAGGAATCTATGCATGGATTGTAAGTGTTGAATTATTACAACTTACAAAGATTACGGCCTTGACGTGGTCCTTGGTGAAGCTAAATGTGCCACGTGGTTTCTTCCAGAGGTCGATGAGGACGTCAATGAGGTCGCCGCCATTGTGAGGCAGCATACGCTTAGGGTCCAGGTGATGCTCGATGACCATCTCAAAGAAGGCGTCTAACTGTGTGAATATTCGCTCACGGCGGGCTATGAATCCGGTTACGCGGTCAACAAGGCGGCCAACGACTCCGGGGAGCAAGTCCTCAGCGGAGGAGCCGGAGCTGGATAGCATCTCCATAACATCGTCGAGCGCTGCCTGAAAACTATTATTTTGGGAGAACTTATCACTGCCATAGATGTTGCCGAACGCTACCGTGCCGATGATACCATCGGAGAGGCTCAAGATGTGCTCGTCCAGCGCCACCGGCTTTGCTTCCGCACGCCTCAGTGTGCTCATCAGTTTCTCCACCTAATCATAAATACAATATACAACATTTAAGTAACCAGATAGACTATGCTTGTTTGACTGCCGATACCGGATGTACGTAAGCTCTACGTGGCTGGATCATCTTGATCGAGTCAATAAAAGTGCAGAAGGTAGACCATTTTCGGTGCACCGTGACTAGGCATACGGCATACGGCATACCTGCTCATGGCGTGCGTACCACGCCGCCTTGACGCGGCGCGCGCTGAGGAGCTCGACGGTGAGGAGCTTGCGCACCTCCCGCCAGTACGCGCCGTAGGGCGCGAACGCCACGTTCTTGAGGTCGTAGGTCAACCGCTTCGTCCCCGCGTGCAGCAGTCGAGGTCATGAGCCTTGAGCGCCTCCCATGCCGCCTCCGCCGACGACAGCACCACAGTCGGCGCCTTGCCGAGCTGCAGCTGCATCACCGGCCCGTGGACCCGCGCCAGGTCTCGCAGGGTCCGATGCGGCATCGGGCCGAGCTGGTGCAGGTTGCCCAGGAGGGGCACCCTCGCAGGGCCTGGTGGCAGCTTGAGCCCTTTCTTGGACGAGATCCTGGTCCACAGCAGGAGGGAAACGACGGAGAGAAGTGCTAAGAGCACGGGCTGCCATTGTTGGGGTAGAGAGAGGAGCAGCGAGGTGAGTGGGGTTGCCATTTTCTGTTTGGTGAGAACTGACTACTTCAGCTAGCTCTTGTACGTGCGAACTTTATACCAAATATGCTGTTCAAAGGGACAAAACGAAGAAGAGACTTTGCATTGCCACATGTGGTCAGCTATCCCAAGTTATGGTGATCAGTATTTGAAGGAAAAGATGAGACGACTTTGCATCACAACGACTTGAAACAGTCAATTCTTCTCCGGCTGCTAAGCTACGTACTACTCTATGGTTGGTACTACTCTATGGCTGCGAAGTTAGCCCTTCCTGACCTTGATTGTTGTTACAACTGCTTGGTGCTCCTTTGGAAACAAACATATATGTACTAATGGATATGTCTGGTTTGCTTGGATAGCTAGCAAAAGTTTACACGACAGGATTTTTCTCCTCTGCGCATGATACCTAGATCCATTTTGCTGTTTGAAAGTATATCTGTGTACACTTTGTAGAAACGAACTTTGGGCGGTTTCTCTAATTGAAATCGACGAGCGCCCCTCACAAACCCACTAGCTCAACATAACTGGTGTGAATTGGTAAATGAACTAACTACTTCAGCTAGCTCATGTATGTGTAAGTTCTATACCAAGTATGTTGGATCGACTCGACCCACCACCTTCATTCGTGCCTCGCTCCTTTCCCAACATTTATCCCCTTCCCCTCGGTGGTTACTGGTTAGGGCAAATTCTATCTTCCAGGCTTCATTGATGAGGCTGTGAATTCGCAGTTCCTATGCATGCCGCTCCGATCCTCCTCGAGATTGTCTGTCTGGACGTAGTCAGCGAAGCTCCGGCATAGCCTCCTGCCGTCTCCTCGATGGCGAGGTTCATCGTGTGTGCGTAATAACGAGATATGGTGACAGGTGTTGTGGATCCTTTCATGGGTTCAAAGATAACCACTGTGGCTCCGGGCACTGATCTTTGGGGGCACGCGTATGAAGACTTTCCAGATTTTATCAATAAGGTGGAGCAGGCTCCAGTAATTTATCTATAAAGCAGGGCGAAAGCCTATTTCGAGAGTAAGATAGTGGAGACAACCGCTAGTTTTGACGGCAGCATGGGACATTTGATGGTCTAAGGATTTTTTATGTAATTTTCATTATGTTTGATGTGCTTTGTGCTTCATAAGAAATTTTTATAATAGATTCAGACCCTTTTCGCACAAAATAAAATATATACCAAATATGTTGAGCAGTGAGGAACCAAGAAGACGTACGGAGTACTCATCACATGCTTATTACTCAATATAAAAGGCACGTTTGAAGACGTCGTACACGACACGTCAAACACAAGGAATTGAAACTTGAAAGTCTTGGTCTTCTACGGCTGGTCGACGTACCGATTGCATTCTACCAGTAACAAACTCACAAGTCAACATAATTGGTGTAAATAATTCGGTCACTCGAGACTGCAGCGCGCCAGCGCAGCTAAAATGGCCTAATACTAAACCCATAATCCATGCCAAATTAGCCCATGAGTAGGGAGTAGGTTCGAGGAAGGAACCAACTCACGCCAGCCACATACAAGAGTTTTCTGTTGATCGCATTACTCCTAGATAAAAACAAAGGATTTTGCTGCACAAATCCAAATCATTAGACAAGTACCGCAGAGTCAAGGCGTTTCTTGCGGACCTGCAACGTGCGGGCAAATTGATGCAGAGGCCAAGCCTCTCGAGCTTTCTCCTCGTGGCCGCCGATCCCGGCCTCGCGGCCACTGTCCGTGGCAGTGACGATAGTCAATGGTCCAGCATTGCGCCAGCAATAGCTTTGCGCTTTGAGGGCAGAATCTAACTCTGGACTGTGCGGCCATGGGCACGCCCAACGGCCTCTTCATGCTGACAAACGGCACCATCAAAGGCCCCGCTTTCCACCTGTCTTCCTTGGCATTCCGTGCTGCCCGGTACTTCTCAACGACCTTCGTCTTAAACCTTTTCAAGTAGTATATTGACCTGAGCAGCCCCGACCTTTTCAGGTAGTATATTGACCTGAGCAGCCCCGGCACACCCTTCTTCATCACCAAGTCCAGGGAGGTTCTCTTGACTTTGCTGCCATGCCAGTTCCCAACGCGAGGAATGTGAAGCTGCATTCGGAATGCACCGATTTCTTACAAAGACTTGTTTCAGGCGATCGAGGGGTTCAGAATATTATACTCTAACACTCACCCTCACTTCTATACTCCTTTGCACTTATGACGTGGGCAACAGAAGCGGGGGCAAGCCGCAATTATTATTGTGTTTACTAAGTTTTGCACCCTGAAAGGCCAGATGAATGCGAGGCTTGAGAATTTCAGTCTAGCAATGCTCTGCGACCATGGATCGCACGCGCAGACCACACACGTGATTGACACTATCGACTACCTAGCCCCTAAACTAGGACATGCCTGCAAGGCAACCCCTGTACTGATGGGTTCCTGTTCAGGGCATTACTTATAGAGGTCACCTGAATTATTTATTACTAAACATGAGCAAAAGGTAAAGAACAAAAAATAATTGAAGTGGACAGTGGACACTTCCGTGTCTATGACACACGATTTATCGTCATGGAAATGGACACTTCCGTGATGAGAATTTTGGAAATGTCATGCAACAATTCTACGACAACACATGTATGACTATCTTGATTCTGTCATAAAATCATCATGGATGTACATGCATGACCAAAATCTGACCTACTGTGACAAACACGTATCATCACGGAAGTGTATTTTTTTGTAGTGTTGTTTGAAAAAGATTCTATCTATTTCATTTCTTTCACACGTATGCAAATCATTTTCATGGTCTAGCAAATATTGTTCTAAGAGATCAGTAGGAGGTACAACAATAGAAGCAAGACCAATAATTTCATCCCTACTAGGTAAATCTTTTTTATGAGGTTTTCTACTAAACTTGGAAAAATTAAATTCATAAGATTCATCACCAAAGCTAACACCAACATTTTGTTTCTCACAATCTATCCTAGCATTGACAGTGTTCAAGAAAGGTCTAGCAAAGATAATGTGACAAAAGTCATCCTGTGGGAAATCAAGAAGAAGAAAACTAGTAGGGTATTTTATTTTTCCACACAAGACTTCAACATCTCTAAGAATCCCAATTGGTGATATAATATCTCTATTGGCAAATTTAATATTAACATATATGTCTTCTATTTCTGCAGGTGCTATTTCATTCTTAATTTCTTCATCTAAGAAAAAAGAAATAACACTCACACTAGCACCTATATCACATAAACCATTATAACAGTGATCTCCTATCTTGACTGAGACAACAGGCATGCCCACGACTGGTCTATGTTTATCTTTTTCATCGGGTTTGGCAATTCTAGAAGCTTCATCATAGAAGTAAATAACATGCCCATCAATATTATCGACCAAGAGATCTTTAACCATAGCAACACTAGGTTCAACTCTGATTTTTTCAGCTAGTTTGGGTGTTCTAATATAACTTTTGTTGACAACCGTTGAAACTTTAGCATGTTCCTTCATGCTAACAGGGAAAGGTGGTTTTTCAATATAAGTAGTGGGAACAACTGGATCAACATTGTAAATGATAGTTTCTTCTTTAGCCTTTACCGGTTCTTTAATTTCTTCTTTAATAGGTGGGGTATATTTAAACCACTTCTCCTTAGGAAGATCAACATGAGTAGCAAAAGATTCACAAAAGGAAGCTACTATCTCAGAGTCAAGTCCATATTTAGTGCTAAACTTTTGAAAAGCATCGGTATTCATAAAATATTTAACACAATCAAACTTGGGTTCAATACCTGACTATTTACCTTCGTCGAGTTCCCAATCTTCACAGTTGCGTTTTATTCTTTCTAAAAGATCCCACCGGAATGCAATAGTCTTCTTCATAAAAGAACCAGTACAAGAAGTATAGAGAATGGATTGATCATTACGACAAAGCCAAGCATAAAAATTCTGAATAATAATTTTTCTTGAGAGCTCATATGATTGGGGCATGAATATAACATTGACTTAAGCCTCCCCCAAGCTAGAGAAATACTTTCTCCTTCATGAGGCCAAAAATTATATATCTAATTCCGATCATGATGATCTAGATGCATAGGATAATTTTTTTGATGGAATTCCAATTTCAACCGTTTCCATTTCCAAGATCCAATATCATCACATAGCCTATACCATGTCAATGTTTTTCCCTTCAAAGATAAAAGGAAAAGCTTCTTCTTAGCTTCATCTCCCGGTAAACCTGCAAGCTTAAACAATCCACAAATTTCATCCACGTATATCAAGTGCATATCAGGATGTTCAGTTCCATCTCCTGCATAAGGACTAGCTAGTAGTTGTTCTACCATACCCGAAGGAATTTCATATTCAATATTTTCA